AGTTTATGGTGCATACAGACTGATCCCTCAAATCGACCATCGATGAGCAAGGTTGTGGAAATGTTAGAAGGGAAACTAGACTCTTTGCAAATGCCTCCCAAGCCTTACCTGTATTCTCCCACAGGAACTGAGGTAGCTTCATCAGTACTAGAGCTGGCCTAGTCTTAATTGTTCATGTCAGTGTAGTAGATAAAACATTAAGTCGACTACCAGGAAGTTTATGGTGCATACAGACTGATCCCTCAAATCGACCATCGATGAGCAAGGTTGTGGAAATGTTAGAAGGGAAACTAGACTCTTTGCAAATGCCTCCCAAGCCTTACCTATATTCTCCCACAAGAACTGAGGTAGATTTATCAGTACTAGAGCTGGCCCAGTCTTAATTGTTCATATCAGTGTAGTAGATCAAACATTAAGTCGATTACCAGGAGAAGTTTCGTTCAATCAATGTAGTTGTAATAATCTGTCTAGATCTTCAAAGAAACAGTTATATTTAACGAAGATTTAGATTTGTGTTGCAATTATCTTTATTCATCAGGGATGTAAAATTGTTACATGTTATATTGAAAGGATCTAATGACTTTACATAGTCAAAATTCAAAGTTTCCCATATGACTTTTAGTCTTCTTCTTTTGTTTGTTTCCTCAATTATTAGTTTTCCTCTTTTGTTTGCTTCCTCAATTATGAGTATTTTTCCATGATTTCTTCACCTCCGATATGTCTTTTTCGATCAACTTAGAGATGCATGACTTTTGGAGGATCCGACACACACCCTGTGGCGCTTTTGAAGAGTCCAAGTAACATAGCTCCCCAGACCCCACTTGTGAGATTACACTGGCATGTTGTTGTTATTCTTTTGTTTGTTTCCATGTTTCATATAATCTTTGGTTTTTGGCATCTGATCTCATTTGCGGTTTACTATGTTTAGGTGACCTCACCTTCTTGTTGTTGTTACGGTTCCTTGCATAATAGTAATAATTTTACTATTCACACATTGGCATAATGTATATATAGTACCTGATAGCCTTCAATCAAAATGATTTGTTCTGCATTCATTTTTTATGCAGCAGCAAAGACATGAAGAACGATGGTCTATATCGTCTATCTGTTAATATCCAGAAGCTGAAGCAGATGATGAAAACTAACTTCGACTAAGTCATTGAAAGTGAGTCTATTTTTCAGTTACAAAAGCATAAAGCAGAAGGTAACTCGAACTAGTTTGGAATTGAAACAAATTTGATTGATATATGTACACTTGATACAATTAGATGTTGTCATGCTTTTAGAAGATAAGTATAGTGAAACAAAATTCAATACTCATTCCACCCAATTTATGTCCAAGTCCTTGAGTTTCATGAGCCATTTCTTTGCATCTTGTGCAACAAAAGGTTTAGACAATGTCGTTTCACAACTTACATCATTAGCTAATAATTCACCTTTTTTCTCTTTGGCTAGGTTTGCTTGTCTGTTAGGATGCCTTACCTTAAGTGACAGAAGACGCGAAACTTCATGAAGGCCACCCCATTTTTCTAACGCACGAGCAATATCATATCGACCTGTAGGAGATGACTTGAAATAATCAGCCCTATTTGTGAGGTAAAGAACTAGAGCAACTCTAGGCCTGGGAAACATTTGTCTTGTGGCACACAGATGGAATCCACATATCTGACTGTCCCAATGTCAACCACCATTGTTGGACCGGGACCATCGAACTGCCTCAAGATGAGTTACACTTTCAAAACACGTAATTTTTGGGGAACTTTCGCATATAGCCACTCAAAAATAGCTTAATTACGCTCCATAGATATAGTTTCCTAATTACGATTTGTAGCTACATGTTATAGAGAGGAGAGCAGGGGCGGAGCTACATGGAACCGAGGGGGGTCACCCGAACCCCCTCGCGGAAAAATTACACTGTATATTTAAGGTCAAATTCTGGTTTTATGGGTATATTAATTAAATTGACCCCCCTCAACACTAAAGAGAAGGATAGCGGAATGGTCAAGGGGTTCAAGTTCCGCCTGGAAGGACTGAGTTCAAATCTCATCAGGCGCAATAGTGTTTTTCATCTTTTTTTTTATGTTTTAAAAGGGCTGAAAAGTTTTGGGCCCAGATTCCCAAACAAATGAAAAGACATCATTGGTTCAATATGAAGCTTTATCCTTTTTATTTTTCATTATTTTCTTTTTATGCTATTTTGTTTTTCAATTTTGTCTTTTGTTTAAATTTATTAGCCTACATTCTTTGTAATTTTTTCTTTTAGATTCTTCTTATTTATATTTTTCATTTTGTTTCTACATAGTTCTCTTTATGTGTACTAAGTTGAAGAAACGATAAATTTTTATTAAATTTTAAATTGAGTTAGAATTTTTTTTTATATAAAATAAAGTAAAATTAAATTTACCCGAACGAAGAAATATTAAAATTATGAATAGTTTTTAAAACAAAATCTATTTAATTTAATTTTCTTTCTTTAATTTCATTGAATTTTTAGAACAAATTTATTCTAAGGAGATGAAAATTAAACTAATCTTATTTGATTTATTGATCATTTATTTTTTTACAAATGACTAACCTAGTAAATTGAATTAATTGAACTAAAAAAAAAGATAGATGTCATTTATTTATTTTCTAAATATGTCAATTTTTACCCCTTTAAAAAATCTTGGTGATTTTTATAGTAACATATGATTGAAAGGGCACTAATTCAGAATTTTTTTAATAAAAAAATCAAAATAAAATAAAACATGACAAAACTTAAAAGAAAAAAGAAGCACAAGAATTTGAAAAGAAAAACTCGATGGAGCAGGGTAAAAAGTAAGAAGAACCTAAACGCGGCATAACAAGACAAGTTAAATTTACCGAGTTAAGATTAATATTTTTCTTTCCCATCTCACGTATTTATTACTTTATACTTTGAACCCCCTTAGCGAACATCCTGGATCCGCCACTGGAGGAGAGTGGCGAGCGAGGGAGGGCAGAGAGTGGAGAGAGGCAAATTGTATATGTATATCTGTCAAATAATTATATATATGTAATTGGTATACATATGTGTTTGCTATTGCAATACTAAACTTTTATGAGGACCTATTACCTCCCTAAACTATTTAATACCGTATTTTAAACATATATATTTGCCCACGTGAACATAAAAAATAATGCAAAATTATAAATAGTAATGTGTCCACGTTGGGAACATATATACATTTAAAATACGCTATTAAATAGTTCAGGGGGTAAAAAATACGGTACTAAATAGTCTAGGGAGGTAATAGGTCCTCATGAAAGTTTAGTATCGCAACAACAAATTCGACCAAAGTTGAGGTATTTTTTAGACCCCTATCCCAAAGAAATATAAATATCTTACATATTTTTAAATTAAATAAAGAAGAGGAAAAGAAAAAAATGGAGAAAAAAAACAACAACATAATTTTGAGTAATTAGTGTACCTAATTCTTGGGAAGGAATAAATAGTATTGAATCATTCATTGTCATATGCTTATTCTCTCGAGGAATATGATTTTCAGCAATTGAATAATAGTTCTTTGAGTACTGATACTCATGGTATTCAATCATTGCTTTTATATATATATTTGTTAATATCTGTTACTCGTATTTCTTATATTTATATTACTCTCCAAATCTCATTTTTGTCAAATTATATAAACAATACAATTGAATAGTACTTCTTTGAGTGCTCAAACACATTTGTATTGCTTATATAATCTCACAAAGTAAGGTTTGGAGAGTAATAGAAATTTAAGAAATAACATATATTGACAAATACATATATAATAAGCAATGATCAAATACCAGGAGTAATAAAAAAAAGTAATTATATTAAAGTGATTGTAAGCTCACTTAAAAGTGAATTACTAATTATTATTTGTTAATACATCATTGAGATAAACACAAGAATTTTATGAACAAAATAGTACTCCTACAAGGGATTATTCACAATCATAAAAACCCAAGAAAATAAAATAAAACAGAGTAGACATACGACATCCCAAAACGACCAAAATAAAGAAATGTGAACATGTTGTTGGGCACTGAAAGAAAATAACTTCTTATCACTGAACAAAACTTGTGATCATTTGAGACTTTTAATAGATCTAAACAAAAATAAAAAAAGTTTACCTGTCAATCATGTTACTACTCCAAACCTCCCAAAGGTGACAGTAGGTAGGGGTGTACAAAATCAAACCGAAAATCGAACCAAATCGCAAATCGAGTTAAACCGGAAAAAAAATCCGACTAGTGGTTCGGTTTGACTTGGTTTGGTATTGGAAAAAAAACCCGACTATATTTGGGTTGGTTTGGTTTTAACTAAAAAAAACCAACCCGAGACCAAACCAATCCGACATTATATATGTAATTTTAAAATTTTATTTTATACATAAAAATATTTACTTTTATATAATTTTAAAATATTTCTTATACTATTTCATAGTTTTTATCTTTTAATATATTATTTCAAGTTTAAAACTTAGAATTCGGAATGGTCCAATAAAGATTATAGTTCAAAGATGTTGATAATTATAATAAAAACTTAAATCAAAATCAAATTAATACTAATGCAAAAAAAAAAAATACAATTCAACACTAAGAATGACAATAATATTGAATATTTGTTCTTTAGTTTTTACATTGGTTTAGTACAATTAAAATAATATAGTTTAATTTTAATTTTCCTTAAATATTTAGTAATGTAACTACTACTTATTAAACTTATTTTAGCATGATTTGGTTCTTTTATGATCATTTTCATTATGACTTTGCAATATTTATTTTATATGATGATTTCATTATTATTTTTTATTGAATATTTTAGTGTCATCAGTACTCATCTCATATTTTGTGTTATTTTTTAAGAAACACCTTAGATAATTATATTTTGGCTGGACTAAAGAAATATTTGGAGCACAAGTTAATTATATGTTTGTATGCAAACTTCACCGAAAAAATCCAAAAGTCTGAAAAAATCCGAGGTTTATTAGTTTGGTTTGATTTATAAATTTAAAAATTCGACACAATGGTTTGGTTTAGTATTTGAAAAACCCGAACCAATCCGAGGTTGAAAAACCCGAAAAAAATCCGAATTTTATTAGTTTGGTTTGGTTTAAAAAATTTACACAAATGGTTTGGCTTGATATTTGAAAAACCTGAACCAACCCGATCATGTACACCCCTATGTGACAGCATTGGTTGAGCCAAGAGGTTCACTGCTTTCTTATTTTTGGGATGAAGACTGTTGAACTTTCTATTTTGAAAGAGTCAATAGTATGAATCTTTTCAGTTTTTTATTTAATAATTATTTAATGTATTTTTATAACTTTTTTATTTAGTTTAGGGGTAAAACGGTAATTCAACTTTTGACTTAGATTCTTCCCACTTATAATATGATAATATGTGATATGTGTGTGTATGTGTATAATTTGTATTTGTATATGTATAAAAGAGGACAAGTGACGTAATTAAACCTAAAATTAAGCTGTGAGCCGTAATTAATTCAAACTATAGCTATATTAGCTAATTAACTAGTATATGCTTGTCTTTCCGCGTAATTTTCCCTTTTTTTTTAGTCCATTTAAAAGACCGAGGCCTTTTAGCCCGGCCTAAGAAAGCCAACCTGCCCTTAAGACTTGACCGAAGCTGGCCCATGGGCCAAATGTAGTTTTGTTATTTCTACATGACTTCAAGTCTTTCCTCACAGCCCCTTAATATACGTTTTAACAACTTTTCCACATCCACTATGCTTTTAAAAACGCGTTTTTTACTTGTGAACAACTGAATTCATAATTTTTCCTCCTGTTGATATAGGAGGAGACTTTTGCTTGATCAGTGGGAGGATTTAATATGACTTACACTTCTTTAATATGCTTTTTTCTGATCAGTTACTTAGTTCAGGCAAAGGGCAGAAATGATTCAACTTGTCCAAAGTCCTTTTCATGTGGAAATCTTACTGACCTGAGCTTTCCTTTCTCTCTTTCCACACAATCTGACTGTGGAGTAATGTTCTTATCTGGTTGTGATGCTAAACCATATCCGAGAATCCAGCTGCTTCCTGGAGGAGATTCGTACTATGCTTTAGGAAATCCATTTAATTATACAGTTTTTCTCGGGGACCCCAAGCTTCATGCCAAGTTGAGGCAACACAAGTGCCAGGCTTTTAACAAAAATTTCTCCCTTCCAAACTCTTCTTCTATTTCTTTTGAAATCCTCCCAGTGAATATTCTCAACTTCATCAAATGCAACAGCACTAATAGTAGCACCCCAAACATTACCCAGAAGATGAAAGATCATTTTGCTGGTTATAGAATGTACAATGGCTGTAAAGGCTTTAGCATATACTACAAACTTCCTGGAGGTGATGGTGAAGACGTTCGAGCAGGCAATCTTCCTGCCAACTGTTCACTTATCAGATTGCCGGTTCTCTTGCTATCAGATGATGGTGGTTTGTTCAATATGTTAAGTGCTGCTTTTGCAGTAGAATGGAAACTGTCTGCAGACTGTTACAAATGTCACTATGGCGGAGGTCAATGCCAGACCGATATAACCAACAAATTTCATTGTTCATATCCAAATAATCCACATGATCATCAAAAAAATGATCTAAATGCTCAAGGTCTAGTGCATATTTAATAAATTTCTTTCTCATTTTCGTATCAAATATTGATAATATTTCATAGAATTTTTCCTCTTTTTTAGATGCAAAAATGACTAGAAGCAAGTTGGGACCGACTCTGGGAGCAGGTAGTTAAATATCCATTAACTGCAGGGTTCTTTCTTATTTCAGCATAATCATGCATATCATTTAAATTTTCTTCTTCATTGTGGTAAAAATTCAAAAAATTGAGGAGACACGTACTTCAGATTACAGAACGTATGGATAGTGGAGTTGAGTGGACATTCTTTCTACTTGTGATGTTTTCCTTTCTTTCTTTTTCCTGAAAACCTTGATAACTGACTGCATTTTTTGTAGATATCTACTATTTGCATAGTCCCTAAAGAAAACTATACTTCCCTGATAGTGCATAAGACATTCAGAATTAGTTATATTTATATTCTCTGATGGTGCATGACTTCATTTTGCTTTCCACAGGTGCAGTTTTGTTTACAGTTGGACTATTGGTTTTCTTGTGGGATTTTGTTTTGAGGGTCACAAAAGAGCTCTTATTTATGAATTCATGCCAAATGGATCTCTTGAAAAATTTATCTATGAGGAAAGATCTGACAGTGTTCGTCAATTGGGTTGGCCAATACTGTACAAAGTCGCACTAGGCATTGCTCGAGGATTGGAGTACTTGCATCGTGGTTGTACCACTCGGATTTTGCATTTTGATATAAAGCCTCATAATATCCTTTTTGATGAAAATTTTTGTCCTAAGATCTCTGATTTTGGTCTTGCCAAACTGTGCATGAAACAGGAGAGTATCGTGTCAATGTTAGGTGCACGAGGGACTATAGGTTATATTGCTCCAGAAATTGTTTGCAGAAACTTGGGAGGTGTCTCTCACAAGTCTGACGTCTATAGCTATGGAATGATGGTCCTAGAGATGGTTGGAGGAAGAAAAAATGTTGATGTTGGAGTTGATCGCACGAGTGAAATCTACTTTCCACATTGGCTCTATCAACGAATTGAACTGGATGAAGAGCTTCAACTAATCGGGATAATGAATGAAGAGGAGAAAGAATGTGCAAGAAAGATGGTGATGGTGAGTTTATGGTGCATACAGACTGATCCCTCAAATCGACCATCGATGAGCAAGGTTGTGGAAATGTTAGAAGGGAAACTAGACTCTTTGCAAATGCCTCCCAAGCCTTACCTGTATTCTCCCACAAGAACTGAGGTAGATTCATCAGTACTAGAGCTGGCCTAGTCTTAATTGTTCATATCAGTGTAGTAGATCAAACATTAAGTCGACTACCAGGAGAAGTTTCATTCAATCAATGTAGTTGTAATAATCTGTCTAGATCTTCAAAGAAACGGTTATATTTAACGAAGATTTAGATTTGTGTTGCAATTATCTTTATTCATCAGGGATGTAAAATTGTTGCATGTTATATTGAAAGGATCTAATGACTTTACATAGTCAAAATTCAAAGTTTCCCATATGACTTTTAGTCTTCTTCTTTTGTTTGCTTCCTCAATTATTAGTTTTCCTATTTTGTTTGCTTCCTCAATTATGAGTATTTTTCAATGATTTCTTCACCTCCGATATGTCTTTTTCGATCAACTTAGAGATGCTTTTCCAAGTAGAGTTGAGGGTCTATCGGAAACAACCTATGTAACTTCCAAGGTAGGGGTAAGCTAAGGTCTATGCACACCGTACCCTCCCCAACTATGTTGCTCGGACTCTCCAAAAATGAAGTCTCACCCGTGTTGGATACTCAAAAAATGCATGACTTTTGGAGGATCTGACACACACCCTGTGGCGCTTTTGAAGAGTCCGAATAACATAGCTCCCCAGACCCCACTTGTGAGATTACACTGGCATGTTGTTGTTATTCTTTTGTTTGTTTCCATGTTTCATGTAATCTTTGGTTTTTGGCATCTGATCTCATTTGTGGTTTACTATGTTTAGGTGACCTCACCTTGTTGTTGTTGTTACGGTTCCTTGCATAATAGTAATAATTTTACTATTCACACATTGGAATAATGTATATATAGTACCTGATAGCCTTCAATCAAAATGATTTGTTCTGCATTCATTTTTTATGCAGCAGCAATGACATGAAGAACGATGGTCTATATCGTCTATCTGTCAATATCCAGAAGCTGAAGCAGATGATGAAAACTAACTTCGACTAAGCATCCAAAGTGAGTCTATTTTTCAGTTATATAAGCACAAAGCAGAAGGTAACTCGAACTAGTTTGGAATTGAAACAAATTTGATTGATATATGTACACTTGATACAATTAGCTGTTGTCATGCTTCCAGAATAGAAGTATAGTGAAACAAAATTCAATACTCATTCCACCCAATTTATGTCCAAGTCCTTGAGTTTCATGAGCCATTTTTTTGCATCTTGTGCAACAAAAGGTTTAGACGATGTCGTTTCACAATTTACATCATTAGCTAACAATTCAACTTTCTTCTCTTTGGCAAGGCTTGCTTGTCTGTTAGGATGCCTTACCTTAAGTGATAGAAGACGCGAAACTTCATGAAGGCCACCCCATTTTTCTAACGCACGAGCAATATCATATCGACCTGTAGGAGATAACTTGAAATAATCAGCACTATTTGTGAGGAAAAGAACTAGAGCAACTCTAGGCCTGAGAAACATCGTGTCTTGTGGCACACAGATGGGATCCACATATCTGATTGTCCCAATGTCAACCACCATTGTTGATCTGGGACCATCGAACTTCCTCAAGCTGAGTTACACTTTCAAAACACGTACTCCCTACGTCCGTGACACTCTTTTCTTTTTAGTCAGTCCCAAAAAGAAAGACATATTTTTTTATTTAAATAACAATTTAGCTTCAAACTTCTCATTTACTCTTACAACAAAAGTTTATGTCTTATTTTAGGCCGTAAGTTTCAGAAGTTTTCTTTTTTTCACTTTAAACTCTTTGTCTGGTCAAACACCTTCATATAAAATAGGACGGAGGAAGTAGTACCATAACCAAAACTATGAAACCCTATGAGGTTTGGTACTCATCAAAATTACAGAGTGATGTAGTTTGCTGATCTTAATTATTTTGATTGAGCTTGGAAGTAGCACATTTTCTTATTCAGTTTTCCATTCATTTTGTAAGTGGCTACTAGAAAGGAAAGATGGTTGTTTTTTCTTGTATAGAAAAATCGTTCTGGTAATTGATAGTGGAGGTGTGTTTTGATAAAAAGATGGTGATAATTCAGGTAGGAAACTCGAAAAAAGAGATACTTCAGGAATGCTTTTAACCTTCACTCTTATTTCTTCCATTTTTGTAGACAGTGAGTGGGAAGGAGTGAATTATACCAAAAAAGGAACAAAATCGTGTGATCTAGTTCCATACCTGCACGTTCAAAGGACTTTCTACTAGGCATATACGATAGATCCATTCCCCAGTTCTTCTGGAAACGACTGATCTGAAAAATTGCAGATCATTTCCAAGCTTAATCAAAATAATCAAGAAAATATGAAATGCAACAAGAAGGTTGGTTACATCTTCTAAAACTCGATTTTTTCCTGCATTGGTCAGTATCTTAAGCTGGTTTCCTTTTTGCATGTATTCATAGCTTTTGCAAGAAATGAGAAGTTGATAATACGTACGAAGAACTGTTAACTAACCTCCTCTTGTAAATTTTCCAAGCTATCCCAATAACCTTTTGGTTTGCGGTGTTTGTAAGCAAGAGATAGATTCATCAATGAAGAAATTCTTCTAAAACCTCCCATACGTGTAATCGCCTTCTCAATATCCACTCTTCCATGTTTCCTGAGTTGCTTTCTCATAGGCATAAATCCTTCTTGTCCATGTTCGGAGATAAAAGCCAAGAGCTCAGCTTTAAGAACTTCAATATCCCTCTGCAACCCTGGAACTTTCGGCCTTTGTCTAGGTGAATGTAAACTACTACTATCTGAATTCTGCCCAGCTTGCCTATCATAATAAACAGATGAATCCTTCATTGATGAACTAACCGATGCCTCTCGAAATTCATCATGGTTAAATTTCTCAAGAGGTTTCTCAGTCTCTCGTTCCTCAATGTAATCTCGGATTGCACATAAGTTTGAGGGAAGGTCCTCATATATGACCTGAAAATGACAGAATAAAAGCAGAAGAAATCACATAAGGCATTCTAATTTGTAATATTTTCTGCAGATTTATTGTCTTCACTTACGCGAGTTAGGCTCAAGATCCACTAAACATAACTTTCGATGGTAAGTGGATGATGAAGAGAGTATACATGGATACAAACCTCTTCCATAATTGCTTCGGAAAGAAATGAATTCTTGTGCATTTTTGACTCCACACTATACTTCAATAGAGTATGATGACTGCCTAATTGCTCTAAGATCCATTTTCCTTCAAAAGAATCGAAATCTCCTTCCACCTGCTCAAAGCTAATTTCTTGTACTATGAGTTCAGATAAGTCTAGGACGACACGTGCATGGAGTACCATGTATAGAAGACCCTTGCATCCTTCCTGGAAATGGACAAGTAGAAGCATCACCTAATATTAGAGAAACATATCTCGTTGCAATACACAACGTATTCATTTCACAGTTGCCCCCAAAATTATTCATCGTCATTTACCTGAAGAATGCGAACTTTGTTGTTGTCTCGTGATAAGATCTTACTGATTGCTAAATTTGGAACTATCCTGCAACAATTTGGAATGAATTACCATTAGTATGATGACCAAGCCAGAAATTATATTAGAAGAAAGCCCTGAAAACTTACTCAGGAAGACTTTCATAAGCAGTCAAAACATTCCATACTTCGCGAACTGGAGCTTTTACTGTAATACTAGCAACAACGCAACGATGAACACCTCCATTTTCCTTCACCCCAAAATCAATTTATCAAAGGGACTACCAAAACAATACAGCTTCACAGGAAAAGGTAAGTCACAGTATACAGTCTATTAATTACCAGTAGACCATCAAATCTTCGGAGATGGACTTCATCCACCACACATGGCTTGTCAAGTTTGCAAGTTTTCCCAAATATTCCCCAATTGTTACTCACATCACTTGTAACTGGTGTCGATGGGCCAAAAGTGGCTTTGACAAACTTGTCCTTTAAGTGTTCACCGGAAGATTTATTTTCGTGGGAAATGACATGATCAATATCTGTCTTAGTGGAAATAAGGTAAGAACCAGGTTCCTCTTTGGTAACACTCTGATAACCTTGATAACTGTTTTCAGCTCTACAGGACAACGCTTGAAGATTTACCGGGAGGTCTGACCTGATAATCCTCTCCAAGAAAATGGCAGGAAAGTTGAACCTTGGTATGACACTAACTTCATAACTTAGTATAGCTGTTGAAGACCTGAAAAGAAAAGGCATTTGTAGGTCTCTACATTATTCTTGAAGACAACATAAAAGGAAAATTAGGAACAACAAAGTTTCCTTCGATAAAGATTGTACCTTGTTCCGACTCTCACAGACCATTTGCCTTCAAACTTCTTGAAGTCACCGTCAACCATAGAAAAATGGAGCTCGCGAACATTATTCTAAATTTGTAAAAGAGCAATATATTAGAATGTCAAGCATGGACTGTAGACATATATTAGAATGTCACAGATCAGACGAACTATCATACACACAGATTTCATATGCTTACCGATTTGATGAATTCTTGGAGATCCAATACAACACGAGCTTCTATGTGCCAATAGAGTGATCGTTGGATACCTCTTTGCTCCAACCAAATACGTCCAGGATGTGGACAAGGAATTCTCCTACTGTGATTAACAAGTAATTCATCCATCAGTATGTAATGCAAAGTATACTCCTAAATCATCATACACAAATATATGCAATACGAATATCACGATGATTTGACAGACAGAAAACTTTCAAGATTATATGGATGTTAGCAAAAACTCCAAAGACGCCCAATGCAGATATCCATCTCTACTTTTAGTACTGAATGTGTTTATTCCGAAATCGTATTAGAAGAACAAAGTTTCAAAGACAGACTCTCATTGCAGTAAGTTGTAGGCATGTCTCTGATTCCAGTGAATGGCTCACAACCCATAGAGGATTATGTTCAAAGTTCGAACTTCATGAAAAACAAAACGTGGTGTTTGAGCAAGCTTGCCTGTACTTGACTATTCCGCTAGGTACCTGTTAGCTCCTCACTAATATTGATACCAGGTAACTCTATCTATCAAGGCTATAGGAAGAAATCACGTAGCATTTTTTGTGCCTCTGTATTAATTTAAGCATAAGACTTCACGGTTCTCCATTCACTTCATTGATCACTAGGTCACACCCTTCGGTAACTAGGTCGAATGCAGAGTGTAGGATGCTGGTTCGGCAAAACCAGTAGTTTTGGTTCAAATCCTACATTTGTTTTAAGAAATACATTTAATATGTAAAAAGTCATAATGCATAAACATACACTCAAACTTGGCCTCAACTGACAAGTAAGCCGTACGCTCTTTACCTTTGAGAGTGCACATCTAGACACCTCAACCAATGACAGAGCCATGATTTTCACTAAATGGGTTCAAAATATGAATAAGTAAACACACGAAAAAACCTAAAGAAGTGCAACATCTACTATATATACACATTAAAAGAAAAAAATAACCATGTATAAATAGTGTAATTTTTTGACAAAAGGGATTCAGATGAAACCCTCGACCCTACCTAGCTTCACCCCTAAGCTCAACTTAGTCTCAACTAGCAACTAACCACTCCAACTCCCCCCTAAAATCCCAAACTCATAAGCTTCAAATCCTCACTCCGTTTTACAACACAAGTACTATAATTTATTAGAAAAATAAGCATACATTGCTGCTATTACCTGCTAACAAGATTTGGGACAAAATCAGCGAGCCTTTCATAATCAGTAAGAGCATTCCAAACAGAATCAACATCAGCATTCACCAAAATCTCAGCTTTAATCTTTCGTTCTCTCCACGAAACAACTTCCACTTCACATCCAACATTTTTCTCTACTCCCATTGCATCTCCTCCTAAAAAATCCCCTTTTCTATAATAATAAGTTTTAAAATTCTCATTCTTCGAATTGAATTTAACGTATTCCAAAGACGAGAAACTCGATTTCCATGAACAAATTGATGAAAATTTGTTGTTGATTTCATAGTTTTTTGGTCTGATTGTGAAATGGAAATGCAGAGAATACATAGAGTGAAGTGAAAGTGAAGAACTTTGGGTTAAAATTGAAAATTATTAACAGAAGTGGTTATTTCTGCTATATATATATTGATATTTGATTGCCAGTTAATTATTGACCACATATATGTTTGGATAAAGGGGACATAAAATGAGTGGTCACAAAGCTTATGAATTTATTTTTTTTCTTTTTTTTCTTTTGTTGTTATTTTTATCCCACATCGAGGGTGAGATGGTTAATCTTGGGAAAACTTGTTTTCGAGGGGTCGTATCGTAGATGGTTAAAATGTGAGTTATGGAGGTATTAGATTTTGCATAAGTAAAATTATGTTTGGTAGCTAAATAGAAGGTAAATTATTCATGTATAAAATTGATATGAGGTTTGATTTGCAAAAAACCCGCATAATTAATACATGTATAAGTTATGACTTACGAGGGAATACATATATTATTTTATACCTGATAGAAAGTGGAATAACTAATACATGGATAATAAATGTATAAATCAATACTTAGATTCACTCATAATTACTACCTACATTACTAATATCTGCATAATTCTAACTAGCTACCAAACGATCCCTAATTGTTAATAATTGAATTTTAAATTTAATGTGTATATTATTTACTAAAATTTTAAATATATAGTGATTTATCTTAACTTCTCATATGACATATTTAAGACCACGAGATTAAAAGATATTTTTATGCATTCAACATATCTTTAATTTAAAATTACAAGACTCAAAAAAATTCTTTTTTTTTCTTATATTTTGTGTTAAGTCAAAATCATACTAATAAATTGAAACCGGCAAAGTAATAACAATTTCTAGATGATTTCTTTTTTCTTTAGCTATTTTGACGGATTTGAGCTATCTATGAAAAGTCTTTGAAAAGCACCCCTTGTCATTTTTATAAGTTTCAATCAACAAAAAAAAAAACCACAAATCACAACTAGAACATGTGTAACAATATTATACTCCAAAGTCCAAATATCTAGCAAAAACAATTCAAACCTCAAAGCTAACATCAAAATCAATCTCAAATCACCAAAAATTAACATATTTTGCACTAAAATATCTAATAAGAAAATATATTACAAAAGTTGTAACAATTACAACAACAACAACATACTCCCAAATAGTGAAGTCTGCCTAAGTGTATGATTGTACGTAGACCTTAATCATGCCTTAGAGATAAGGTCAAATTGTCAGTTTCTACAATAAAGGAAAGACTCCGAACTATATATGGCATGCCTCTCTACCCCACAAAGGGATAGGGGTAAGATCTGCATATATCCTGCCTTCTCGAGGAACTCACTTCTAGAATTACAAAGGCGTTAAATGCTTTGATAGATGTATTTCCCCCTTATTGTTAGTCCTGATCTTACCATACACCAGCCACTTTAAATGGATTCCTCGATTGGTTTTATGAAACATGAGGTGGTTGTTGATTCCACTCTTGGAGTGACTAAACATCAACTCCGAATACAGGCCTAAATCGTTTGCACAGTTCCTTTTCCTCAAATCAATTAAGTTGATTCTTCCGCGCAAAAGTTGGTCAATGCCAGCTCATGTGAAAGTTGCAAATACCAACCAAGACCCTCAATTCACAAAGGCGTTAAATGAAGCTCGAGTAGATTACCTATACAACAAGTTGTAGTAATAAACTTCCAAGTCAACTAACAACATTGAAGTTTAACATATGCCAAATAGGAAATTCTAGTGAACAATGCAAGTCCATAAAAGTTACCTATATTTCAAGGCTGAGACTATTCAATGAAAGAAATGAAAATGACTCCTTTGACAACATGAGGAGAAAAGTCCTTAGTTGGTTTAGTCACCACAGAAGATCGAGTAAGGAATTCTGTTGACTCATTCAAACTCCAAAGTTATATATGCAAATAATACTAAGCACATATCATATGATATGTTGCTTCTCATGTTGTTGTTGTTGTTTTTCTTCTTTTAAACATAAGGGTTCCTTACTCGTTAATCGTCATGGATTTAGTTTCTTGGTTTTTCGTCTTCATTTTGTTGCATCAGAGGTGTTTTGATTCTGTTCAAGGACAGAACACACCTTATTCAAACTGTCCTCAAGAATTCCAATGTGGAAGTTCAGAACTTCTGAGTTTTCCTTTCTATAAACCTGATCAACCTGACTGCGGATTATGTAAAGTTGATTGTGATACTGCTCCACATCCGATGATCGAATTGGAAGGAGTAAAGTATCAAGTACTTGAAAAACAGAATGCTTTTGTCAAAATTACGGATCCTGTTCTTGAAAATCTCTTAAAGGAAAAGAGTTGTCGATCTTTCGATAGAAATCTATCTCTCCCAATATCTCCTATAATCACCTATAGTGTCTACCCTTTTCTCACCTTGTTTAAATGCAATACTAGTAATGATATCTCGTACGAGGGCTTTCAGAGTTACAATGGTTGCGAAAGTTTCACATTATACTATAACCATTCGTCCGTTTCTTCTGTTGGATCTACTCTTCCTACTAAATGTTCAATGATTCATTTGCCTATGGTGTCAGGTTATGAATCAAAATCGAACAATAGTAACTTGTTCGATATGTTGGCTGCTGATGTTACTCTAGGATGGACAGTGTCTAATACATGTAATCATTGTTATTCGAGTGGAGGACGATGTCAAGTTGATAGTAACAACAAATTTCTTTGTTCTGTTACTGATCAAGGCAAAGGTATTCAAGAAGTAAAATATGCTTGATTCCTTCATCTTAGTACTCTTTATTTATTCGTTTTTCGTATTGCAGGAAAGCATCTTCGTAGAATATGGATCATTGTTTTAGCCACAGGTAACTCTTTTGTAAAACTGTACTAGTTGCATTGTCTCGAATAGAGACTCTTCACCGGTGTATGACTTCATTTTCCTCTGTATAGTTGCAGTTTTCGGTTGCATTGGAATTTTGATTTTGCTGTTCTGCTTTAGAAAAAAGATTTTCTGGCATAAGTACCTCAGGTTTTGGGAATCAGAAGCTGAGGATCATCGAAATATTGAAGCATTTCTCAAGAACAACGGGCCATATGCTCCGATGAGATATAGTTATTCAGACATCAAAAGGATGACTAGTAGCTTCAAAAACAAACTAGGCCAAGGAGGATATGGTTATGTATACAAAGGAAGTTTACATAATGGAAATCCTGTTGCTGTGAAGGTTTTGAATGGACTAAAAGGCAGTGGTGAAGAATTCATTAATGAGGTATCGAGTATTAGCAGGACATCACATGTTAACATCGTGAGCCTCGTGGGATTCTGTTTTGAGGGTCGAAAAAGAGCTCTAGTTTACGAATTCATGCCAAATGGATCACTAGAAAAGTTTATCTATGAGGAAAGATCAGACACAGACAGTGTTCGTCAACTAGATTGGCAAGTACTGTATAAAATTGCATTAGGCATTGCTCGTGGATTGGAGTATTTGCATCGAGGTTGTAACACTCGAATTCTACATTTTGATATCAAGCCTCATAACATACTACTTGATGAAGATTTCTGTCCTAAGATATCTGACTTTGGACTTGCTAAACTCTGCGTAAAAAAGGAAAGTATAGTGTCAATGTTAGGTGCACGAGGGACTATCGGTTACATTGCTCCTGAAATTGTTTGTAGAAACTTGGGAGGTGTCTCACACAAGTCTGATGTTTATAGCTATGGAATGATGGTGTTAGAGATGGTTGGAGGAAGGAAAAATGTTGTTGATCGAACGAGTGAAGTCTACTTTCCAGATTGGCTTTATCAACGAATTGAACTAGATGAAGAACTTCAACTAATCGGGATAATGAATGAAGAGGAGAAAGAATGTGCACGAAAAATGGTGATAGTGAGTCTATGGTGCATTCAAACTGGTCCTTCAAATAGACCATCTATGACTAAAGTTGTCGAAATGTTGGAAGGGAACTTAAACTCTTTGCAAATTCCTCCAACACCTTACCTATATTCTTCCTCAAGGTCAGAAGTAAAATTGATCTCATCAGTAGAAGAATCGAGTTTCCGATCAACTCTCTCTACCTCCACGAGGTAGGGTAAAGTGATTTGCGTATGTACATTCTTCCCTTGCCAGACCTTATTTGTGGAATTACACCGAGTATAATGTTGTTAGTTGTACAAAATTTCTTCGTAGTGTTTTGGATGGTTGCTTCTTTAGTCTTTGCTTTGTTAGAAATATGTAAATCAACTAACAACCTTTAGGGTCAAAAAAAATGTGTAAGATTGACTATTTTTATTTATTTATGGTAAGTAAGATTGACTGGAAAATACTGATTACAAAAAGCAAGACTAAATAAAATATGGCTTAGTTTTTTGTTTTTTTTTTTTGAGGTGGGAAATTTTTTGTTTGAGCATATGGGATAATTTTATATGACTTGGTCTTATTCTTTTGTTTGCTTTCCTTAATCATGATTTATTCAAATGCAACACTAGTATTACTAACCACAATAGAAGGAAAAAGGATCAATTATTTGAAAAATAAATTTACTCACATTCAGTACAACAATAAATTCAGTATAATCTCGTAAGTAAAGTTTGAAAATGATAGGATATACGTAAGTAAGTAAAGGTCAGAAGTAAAATTGATCTCATCAGTAGAAGAATCGAGTTCCCGATCAACTCTCTCTACCTCCACGAGGTAGGGTAAAGTGATTTGCGTACGTACATTCTTTCCTTTCCAGACCTCATTTGTGGAATTACACTGAGTATAATGTTGTTAGTTGTACAAAATTTATTCATAGTGTTTTGGATGGTTGCTTCTTTAGTCTTTGCTTTGTTAGAAATATGTAAATCAACTAACAACCTTGAGAGTCAAAAAATGTGTAAGATTGACTATTTTTATTTATTTATGGTAAGTAAGATTGACTGGAAAATACTGATTACAAAAAGCAAGACTAAATAAAATATGGCTTAGTTTTTTGTTTTTTTTTTTTTGAGGTGGGAAATTTTTTGTTTGAGCATATGGGATAATTTTATATGACTTGGTCTTATTCTTTTGTTTGCTTCCTTAATCATGATTTATTCAAATGCAACACTAGTATTACTAACCACAATAGAAGGAAAAAAAGGATCAATTATTTGAAAAAATAAATTTACTCACATTCAGTACAACAATAAATTCAGTATAATCTCGTAAGTAAAATTTGAAAATGATAGGATATACGTAAGTAAGTAAAGGTCAGAAGTAAAATTGATCTCATCAGTAGAAGAATCGAGTTCCCGATCAACTCTCTCTACCTCCACGAGGTAGGGTAAAGTGATTTGCGTACGTACATTCTTCCTTTTCCAGACCTCATTTGTTGAATTACACTGAGTATAATGTAGTTAGTTGTACAAAATTTCTTCATAGTGTTTTGGATGGTTGCTTCTTTAGTCTTTGCTTTGTTAGAAATATGTAAATCAACTAACAACCTTGAGAGTCAAAAAATGTGTAAGATTGACTATTTTTATTTATTTATGGTAAGTAAGATTGACTGGAAAATACTGATTACAAAAAGCAAGACTAAATAAAATATGGCTTTGTTTTTTTGTTTTTTTTTTGAGGTGGGAAATTTTTTGTTTGAGCATATGGGATAATTTTATATGACTTGGTCTTATTCTTTTGTTTGCTTCCTTAATCATGATTTATTCAAATGCAATACTAGTATTACTAACCACAATAGAAGGAAAAAAAGGATCAATTATTTGAAAAAATAAATTTACTCACATTCAGTACAACAATAAATTCAGTATAATCTCGTAAGTAAAGTTTGAAAATGATAGGATATACGCAGATCTTACTCCTATCTTTGTGGATAAGAGAGGTTGTTTTCTAAAGACACTCGACTCTTTTATTCTCATTAATGAAAATATATCATGAAATATCATAGTTTTGAAATGTCTTTTTTTTTAATCGTGACAATTTGGTATGGTTTGTGAGTGATCCAATAGGACAACTACGTTGAATATATCATGAAGTCATATATATTTTTTCTCTCTTCTTTCTCTTCTGTGTATGTAGTTTTGAAATCATGACAATCCGATGTAGTTTATGAGTAATCTGGCTCGTAAGAGCATAAAGTTATATCGATTTGTCAAGACTTGTCTCACTTGATCATCATTGTTGTTCAACTTTAAAATATTTTGGTACGTAAATTTTTCACTAAACTTAAAAGGTTAATTTTGCACAAATATCACTCCAATTTACAAAACTTCAGGCCCAAAGCAAAGTCCAAAGTTGGCTAGGGGAATACAATTGGGCTAACTGAGGCCCATTGTGAAGTAAATCTTTTTCTTGTCCAGTATCCACATTAGAGCCCGATTAAATTCAAATTCGTGCCGGAAAATATCACATTGGGGGTAAAGCACTTCCTAACAAATGTGACTCCACACCCAAGGAGATTCGAATCTGAGACCTCTGGTGAAGGAGTACAGTAAAACTTTTAATAAATATATCCAAATCTTAAACAACTAATAAAGGTACGAATAACAAACAGTACAGACTACGGTGTATTGCATAGCAAACCCGAGTTAAAAAGAAGTATATTGAACTACTTCAAAAAATAAGAAAAAAATTCGTTGAACTATTTTGTAGTGAGAGATATCATATCCAAATATCGTAGCCTCGTATCCGCACCTGCATAACCCTATACTCGATTGCACAAGTTCAAACTCGCACCGTTCCATTTTCATCCCTAACCAATGGAACATACATAATTGCTTTTGCCGCTCCACCCTTTTAACTTTATGGAGCTATGTTCTTAAACCACTAATTAGAATTAAAGGCTCATATAGAAAGAAAAAAATTTAAAAATTTAGTCAAAGAAGAAAAAGAAAAAGTATAGTATATAAAAAAAAAAAAAAATCATACATGGGAAAGTTGCATGAAATCAAGCAAATTATAGCATTTGATTTTGGCCCCACGTTAGAGACAAGAAGAGAAACAGAAGGTAATAATTTATTTTTTTATTTTATTTTATTATTCATAATAAAGTGTAAAAGACAAATTATTAAACAAATCATATTTCTAATCAAAATTCCAAACTTTGCTTTTTGTCGTTAGACCAAATGATTAATCTCCTCACTTTAAATATAAACTTGCACTCTTTACCTTTTTCTTGCTTTTGCTTTGTTGTACTTCTCTTTGATTTTTTGTTCTTATTTTTTTGTCATTATAGTCATTAACTAATTAAGTATATATATTGATATTCTTGCCATTTTAGGTGTTTTATTACTAATTCTTAATAATGATGATTGAAATAGTTAAGTATATATATTTTTTTTCTTTTTGCCATTTTAGGTATTTTACAACTTCATAATATTGATATATTTGAATTGACCTATTACGGGGCCTACAATCATGGTGAGTTAATTCTACTTTGAATATGCTTTATTTCTTTTTGTAAACTCGTCTTATTTTCTCTTGTATGTCTTAAGACTGATGTGAGTTTTCGCTTGTATTTTCACTATTCGACTCGATTAAAGCTTGAACAGAGATACTCTCTATTTATAGCGTGCATGCGACCTTAGTCCTCTATGATTAAATGTAGAGACATGTAAAAAAAGGATTTGGTAGAATTCATGATCGTCAAATCAAACCTTACATAATTTCATGAGAAATAAGCATAAACAAAAGTATTTACATTATAGATATTACAATGACATTTCTAACTCAAAACCTACGATGTCTACGCGAATCGTTTATTTGTCACATAAACTCAATAAAGCAATTATGTGTCTATGTGAGAATGCTCTTTGAACAACAACAACAACAACAATATAACTCAGTATAATTTCACAAGTGGGATCTGATTAACATTTTTTATATCATGTGAATATAGAGAGATTGTTTCGATAAAATATTCTTTGAACATTGAGCACACAAATATTATATGAACTTTCATTTTTTAAAATAGTGACAAGTCAATCAAAAAGGCTTTATTGTGCATAGCTTATACAGTAATATAGAAGTGACAAATGATGTTACATGGCATTAAATTAAATCTAAGTTTAATTTAAAAGATTTTTATTGGTTTTGTACCCAAAAGCAAAAGTGAAATTTTGAGTACTTCAAGAGAATGACCAAAAGAACGTTGCTTTGTTTCTTTATTCTGCCGTAGGGCAAAGCCTTTATGAACCTCATTTTCTTATTCTTAGGAACACAAATACCACAAAAAGCCACTAAAACCCTAGCACTTCCTACAACTTTTTTAAAAAATATAATAATCGCGATGTGTGAATTAATTTATTTGTATTAGACTAATTTTGTGAAATAACTATGACGTACCTTCAATTTGTGTATATGTAGATTATGTTCACGTAATGCATGTCATCTTCTATCAATACAAATATTAGACAAGCCTTTATGAAACTTCTTTTTCTCATTCTTGTCAATTTGCATTTATGTCGATTAATATCATGTGATGCATGTTATCGTCTACCAATACAAGTATCGAATATAAGTATTTATGAAACTTCTTTTCTTATTCTCATTAATTTGCATATACGTCAATTAATTTCACATATTATTTTCTGTCAATATATATAAGTACTGAATAAGCATTTATGAAGCTTCTTTTCTCATTCACATGACACAAAAACCACTAAAGTCCTAGCACTCCTTTAATATTTTTTTATTTTATTTTTTTGAGTAACCATGATATACAAGTCATTTATGCACAACTCGATCAATTCTATTGAAAAGAAAAGGCTATTAAATCCCTTGCACTTCATGCTATTTATTTTTTTTGATAAATATAATGTGATGTTCTGACTAACTTATTACTCTCTTTGTTTTTAATTATTTGTCTATTTTTTTCTTTTTTAATTGTCTTTAATTACTTGTCAATTTTGACAAATCAGGAAAAGACAAAAAAAAATTATTTATTATGCTTTCAATTAATTACTTTGAAAAAGGTAAAACTTTTTGAAAATCTTAAGTTTTTTATTCATCCACTTCAAAATTAATAGGGGTAAAATGGTAAACTCATTATGTCATTAATTGTTTTCTTAATAGGTGTGTCAATTCAAAAGTGGACAAGTAATTAGGGACAGAGTAGTATCTTGACTAATTTTACAAAGTACTTGTTATTTTTAATTTGCATGCATTTAAACTAATTTTATGAAATATCAATCATCTCCAACCAACATATGTGTATCAACATCTACTAATATAAATACCAATTATCTTCATTTAACATAGATATTGATTAATTCTATTTATCATGATTTAGACAAATAAAAAGAAATCACTTAATATACCTTGGCTCTTCCTAGTATCATTTTTCTTTTTTTGGTTCATATTAACTAAATCATCTAGTATATGAAAAGGTTTAAACATATTTTTTCTGTTTTAAAAAATCAAGAAAGACATTAATTTTTCTTTAACTCCACCCCTACTTCAATAATAAATTATCAAAAAGAATAAAGGAAACATAAAGGGTCTCTATCTCTCCCAAGTAAACCTTATATTAAAAATATATATTTCATTTTACTTTTCAAAATTACTAGAGTTTTATCATTTCCATCATACACTATCTTTATTATTAAATAACTATATAAAGTAACATTAATCAAATTTAGAGTTCTGAATCATCACTAATAAATTTAGTAACATACTACATTCCTAATTAATTTTTTTTTAAGGAATATGTTAAGTCAACAAAAATCAAATTATATTCAACAGAAGGAATCAAATTTAGAATTCAAAGTATCATTGATAAGGTTTAGATTAGTAAAATACACTCTAACTAAAAAAAAATTCATAAAAGATATGTTAAATCAACACAAATCAAGTAATATGCAATGAACGAAATAGTCAAATTTAGCCTTAAAAAGTATTACTCCTTCTGTTCAATAATACTTGTCCACCG